TTTTACGTCGCTCCACTGACATGTGTATACATATGCAATGCATAAATGGCTGTCGGATGCTTGTCGTTTCGAATATGGGTACGGAAAACTTTTTGACGCCCGCATTTCCACGCGGTTCCATCAAAATATTCGTGCGGTGCTGAAATTTCGATTTCCATGCATTACACGCTAAGCTTTGTGTGTGGTATAAACTTGTCGTATAGCTGAGTCATAATTTACCTTTCATGATCTTCACTTCTGTGCTCAATGGGGCCATCGCGTGTAACGTGTAAGTCTTAAGATACATGATAGTACTCTTTACATGTATTGTTCTGGCGTGAGTATTTAGATGATGCAAATGACGTTATTGTGGTTTAATGCATCAAAGTACCTTTTCACCAGATGAACAAGTCGATTCGAGTGCCAGTCTATGTACGTGGGCTGGCAAAAGCTGATGAGCCGATCAACATATTCAGTGGTATGGCTGCTCGCCTACCAAAAGGGGCGAGGGGGTGAATCACAATTCAAAGGTCTACTTCGCGTGTCCTTCTCCTACTCCTCTCGTGCAATCGAGCTTTTAATCAACCAAGCGTCGGTGAGCAACATCTTGTTTCTGGTCTCAATTGAGTTTCGGTACACCACAGGGAGGAGCTAACGGGATTGTCATTAAAAAGTAGGAGGAGCTCGCAGCATGGGGTTTTTGTTCGTTGTTTCGTTGTTTCACGGTACTTTATGCGTGGATCTCTGAAATAAATAACATATATGCTCTGCTGAGTGTAAAAACCCTTTTTTTCTGCTTTTTGCGAAAGATCTTTGGAAACAATCAACACTATTAGAATTTTTAACCCTTTGCATTTGACAATATTGTTCCGGTAAAGTCACGAGCTGCAATTACTTTATACTTAGCCCGATTCTCGTTTTGGATCAATCAAACGTTATCAGAAGGCTCGACATCCCTCAAAATGTTTTCATCAATTCCATCCCGTAAAACACATCGAAGCAAGTAAATATTCACGAGCTTGACTGATTTTTTTTTCCAGAAAAATCCTCCAATCCTCCGAACCCAACTTTAGCTGCAAAACACGAAGCATGAAAAATTCAAGCGACTGCCACTGGCTGCCCCTTCCAGCAGTCAGTGGTAATTGAGGGAGATGGGGTGGTGGCAGTCATGACCAGACTGATCGGCCTAATAATTAATGAATTCGAACTTTCGGGACACTCAGAGCGCTGACGTTTTAAAAGCTACTAGATGTCCGCGCGTGTTACCCTCCCATCCTCGCCCCCCTTGCGGGTGAAAGTGCGGGGAAATTGAACGCGCGCGCGGAAAGGCGGTGTTTAATGGAGTCGTACCCCCTGCAGAGCTCCGAATTGGTATTGATATTATTTATGCCTAGGCATGGTTGCGAGAATTATAATGTACATGTTTATTCTCGGTTGTTCTCCTCGCTACTGAGTTCATTCTCCACAGTGATTGCATCTCTCCCACTCTCGCGAGCTAGAGTTATGGTTCTTAGCTTATGAGACCTTGCTGTCTGGGATACCGAGTGGTATTGGTAGTTCTCGTGCAACAGAGTTTTTTATAAAGCTATTTTATACGAGGTATCTAACAGAAAAATGAAATTACGATGAAACGTTAATATTATTATTCAGATTCCACGTTTTTTACGTAGTGCGTGTTACCCTGCCTATTTTTTTTTGATAAAGAAATCTGGCGTACTTTGTATTCGTAATCTCTGAATTTCAAAGTTTATACAATTTAAAAGCTCATGTATGTTGACGATTTTTCTGCATTGATGACGACCTTTAATTTAACATTTTATTCTTCGTAAAGATTAAATTTTTCTTTATCTCGAGAAAAATAAGTATGAAAGATTTTGTTAGATTTTTACATCGAGACAGTTTTCTCGACCAAGATTAGAGAAATTAAATTTCTCTCGTCAATGACTTTATCATGACACTATGGGTCAGGATGATAGACAATCTGGCAGACCATAGACAGCTCCACGATTGAATATTAACGAAGTTTACTTGAGTGAAAAAGTGATACGATTCGTGGACTTCTTTATCAGCTTAAGCAGTTGCATTAAGGAAAAGTTCTATTAAATAAAAGTCACAATATTTACCAGGCATTCAAGAACCGTTTGAGGAAGAAGAGGCAAAATCACAGTAGCCAAAAATCGAGGGTCCATGATCCCATCTCGAATCGCGTTGGTACGCGTTATCCCTTTTAAATATGCACCCCTCGCTGCCCTGCATAAATCAGGCCACCCCCTGCACTGATGTTGGACCCCTGATTTCCCGGGCGTGATGTCGTCGCTGATAATTCAAAACTGAGGAATTAATCAAGCATCGCGTAAAACCAAATTTTGCACCTCCACGTACTTACACTAACCGCTTTATCGCTCTATTTCTCGCTCAAGCGTGAACCTATGAAAATCTCGCCCGAGACGTGGTCGATTGACCTTCGTACCCTGACTCGACTATATTACTTTCTTCCCCGCCCATCTGCGTAATGAATTTGTTGAGAAACCTCTGATCATAATTTTTTGCCCCAAAGGGCTCTGGTTTACAGCTCCGAGTAACTCATGGGCAAATATTTGGACTGAATTTCAACTTATCCTATTTATTATAAAATGTTATATGTTGTTGTATACGACTGTATAAATGATTAATACAAAATGATGATATCAAATCTTCGACTAAAAGTGTAAAATACAGATACCTAGAAATTTTTACTCATGGAAAAGTTACTTGGTAATTTAAAAGCAGTTACGTCAATCGTAGCCATGTGACTTTGCAGGTTTTTAGGCTTTAGAACTGAAGTTGCAGTGTGCTCTGATGTTTTTTCTCAATTTCATCGCAATGTATGAAAAATTAGGAAGAGGTACAATAGTAACTTCTGATTACAATAAACTTGAATGGAGCAAGACAAATACTTTTATGGACAACTGGTTTCCACTTTATTTATTAAACAAATCTCAACACGAAAAGTTAGTTCCTTGGGATGTAAACATTTTCTTAATAAGATTGAAAAATTTGTCTTAAGAAAATACCACACAATATATCTTGAATGCAAGATGCTTGATAAATACACCCAGGAATTAAAAATCGTATAAATTTAAAGGAAATAGTCAGGATCAATCTTAAGACGAAACATGTCAAAAAATATTTTTTAGATATTTTCTTCTACCTTATAAACAAAAAAACAAACACTTTTTTACTTTACAAGATACGAGTTCGTTGTTTTTTGCCAATTAAATTTCTGTACTTAATCCAAGAGTATCCTCATAGCTTGAGGGTAAAGCTGATTGCATAGCTACACGTAAAACAGCAGTAAAAAAAGATGCTGAGAAGAAAACAACGAGCTCACTGTACCAACGTGGGAAAAATTCACCACGCGTAATTAACGTATAATATACAATGCACATGAATTACACACAATATATATTTATATACACATACACATATACATATATTAGGTATCACTTTTTGCTTCCGATCTAAACGCAGGACTCCCAGCCGAGAAACTTGTGCAGAATGGAAAAAAATGGCATGAGGGACAAAGACACAGTCTGAATTGAATATTTTCAGTACATACGTATGGTACAAGGTACTTTCAAAATAGATTTAAGGGCGAGAAGGCAACGAGAGTTTATTGGTACCAGTGGATGGTATAGCTCAAAAGTCCGTAGTGCGGATCGATTCACTTTACGCATTCATTTCTCGTTGGGGCATACTTGCTTTGATGGTATATTATACGTATATTCGTGAGGAAATATTTAGTCTCTCATCACTGTTGAATACGACCCTCGACTTGATCGATTTCAAGGGACTGCACCATTGCCTGTTAACGAAAAAAAAACAGGGCTCCCACCAGTAAAATCCAAAAATATATACGTGTAGGCTCGGCTCGTCGCGACTTTTTCACGATAAAGCGCGTCAACTCGGGCTTCAAAAATGTTTTCATTCAATTAGCGCCCTCGCGCGAGGATACACTATACGCGCCGAGAAGCTTCAGTGGATCGAATTTAATGCGAAAATGCAGATTGTACGGCGCCCGAGAGTTTGGTGGGTGTATATACAGTGTACTTGCATATTACACGCGCAGGGCGTGATGCGGCGTCAAATTGAAAATGTGCTAATGGACGCAGTTAACTTTGACGCTCCGCGTTAATTAAAAATTTGGGTGGCCAACCCTTGTCCAACGTGACACACGAGGCCCTTTTTTCATGGTTTTGTCTTTAATTTTTTATTTAATTTTACGCCAGTCCCTTAATCATCCGTGTACTATTTGGTTACTGACTTAAACCGGAGATTTTATAGTTAATTAGACGAAATTCACCACTCATATCGAAATATGGAGCTTATCATTTTTCGATCATTATTTAATATTTGGGATGGTATTGTGTGAAATGGAGGGATAAAACTATAATGATGTGTTTAATTAAAAAAAAAATATTGAAAAATTAAAAGTTGTTGAAATTTATTTCTGTATTTTAATAAAATTACATGGATGGTTTTCTTAGTATTTGAAAAAAAAAAAGTAAAGTAAACAAAATGCACTTTTTTGGTTTTAACTTGCAGTAGATAGCATCCGCATTTTTATAACAAGAATTTTTATCCATTCACTAAGTGCACAGCTTACAACATTTATACCACAAGTAAGAATATTTTTTAGAAGGTCTGAATTATGTGAACGAAAAGTTAAAATTAAATTTGTTTAATTTTTGTCCTTGATTAAATAGTAGTTGCCTTCATTTACAGTGCAGTGTTTTACAACTTTTGGAGTGGTAAACGACCAAATTACTGCACAGGCACCAATCACCCCGCACTCGTCAGTAACACAAAATAAGAAAAACAGACTCGGAAAAATTCGTGAGCTCTAGAAATTGTAACACGTTCGGACATTAAAAACGTTCAATCCAGAATCATACTTTACGCCATGACATTTATAATTGTTTAACTAAGTGACTTTCAACGAATCTAACCTACAAAACTTAGCAATCGTTCGCAGTAATTGGATCGGGACCTTAGCATGAAAACATTATGGGAAATACCCACGCATTCATTGGTGGTGCAGTAACTGGTACAATGTCAAAATTTCGCTGATTCGTGGACTTCACAAGAAGACTTTACACAAAATTCAACAAGTGCGGCTAAAAATTCAGGGATTTTCGGTGCTTTGACTTGGATTCTAAAGCTTCCTGAATTTCTTCATGTAAACAAGTTTGAGACTAGTCCCTACGTTGTATCTTCTCCTCGGGGGTCCCGATAAGTCTGTCGGTGCGTGGTTCGACCAGGTGAGTGTGGGCAGATCCATCTCTCGGACTGGTGCCTTGTAAGCCCTGAGGAGCTGAGTTACGTACCACCTCGTGTACACACCCAATAAAAAGCACTTTTGTTCGTTTTGAACTCGCCTGTAGAAGTCGCGGATGATGTCACATCGGACTTTGTTCGTCGGAGCCTCTGCGAGCTTCTTTTTCGTTTCGTCGTCGAACTCACGCACTGGGATGTCCACTGGAAGGGCAACCAAATGACTTAGATGATTAGTACGATTCTTGTAGAAATGAACGTAGAAAACGCATCAAAGCTTTGCGGGTTTTTAGCGAGAAAAGTGCAGATTTAACAAATACACTTTACGTAGAATTTTTCGTTCATCGGGTAAAATTTTCTGTTTGTCGAAAAAACCACCCTACCAATCTAATTTGTTGGTAATATTTAAAAAAAAAAAAAAAGAAAACCTCGGACAGTTACCCATTATTGAAAACCGTGTTAAGTAGAGCATAATACATTTTAAAAACTTTAGTGGGTCTATCCCAACTGAATAAGTCACGAAACCCTATCTAGCCCCCTTTACTGATAGTTACGGTTCGCTGTCCGTGCTGACACTTTCAAGCATCGGATTCGTACTTTAAAGAGAACGATTATACAAAATTAATCCTTTTAATTGGATGTACACTAGATAGATGGTACTATAGATTTACACCAAAAGATGTTGTTAAAAGATCATTTGCTTGAGCGGAGTAACGTCTACATGACATGTATGTTATTAAAAAAAAAAAAATATAGAAAAAAAAGATATTTATGAAAATATATCAAACTTAGTAGGTTGGCTAAAAATGTTTCATGAAAAGTAAACGCAAGGGCCACGGTAGGTTTTTTGTAATGTCATGTACTATGGAGAATGAATCATAACACCGTCGAGTTGGTACCATTTTCCGTAACTTACATGCAAAATTACACACATATGTATGATATAAGTAAATGGATTTAATAATTGCATCAAAATTCGAGAAAAACGTGTCTCACCGCGATTCAAGTCTGTGTTCACAATTTTTTTCGACATAGTACGTGACATTGCGAACAAAATAAGCTTCGTCTCGAATATAAGTCTCGGAAAAAAAAGGGGAACGAATTTGGAATGTTTATGTGGATTTACACTTGTGTGTAAGGGACTCAACTGAAGAGTATTGTCCTTACAAAAGGGATGTCTATATGCACCTGACAACTGGATGAAGAAGACATGATGAAAATATAAAACATGAGAATTGAGTTGAACTTACTACTTTTTTGACTACAGGAAGATGAATTCACAAGCACAGAGTCAAGTCCACTAAAGCCTCCGTGTCCGATCTCTCGTAAACTGCGGTTGTCGTTGGTAGCCGACTAACTGTACGTGATATAAGGGACAATATGAGGTATAACTTGGAATTTTCCAAGCGCTCGTGGACAGTGTTTACGTGAATGTTCCGATTTCTCCCGAGTCTGATTCCCCAACGTCAAAGAGAGGCTCTCAAAACTTTTATTGCCCCTTACAAAAGCTTATCTCTTCTATTTTCCTTTTCATTTGTGAAAACGGTGTTAGTAAGTATTTCGGGCTCATGGATTTTTCAGACTTTATGCGTATTTTGACAAATCAGGATATAACAAAGACTTGGTTGGTTTAAGACTTTGGATCCTTTATTATTTTTTCCTTGAAAAAGAGAAAAGTAGAAAGTTAAAGTTACATCAACAACTTACTTTTACTTGGAACTCTAAGGCAATGCACAAACTGAACCAGCACGAGGTGGTAGAAGCGGATTCTAGTCACTGCGTCTCCGTTGAGGCGGAATAAAATTCACTCATGGAGGACCGCGAGATAGCAGAGACGGACTCTAATTACCTAGTGCAACATTCGAGGAGTGACGGTTCACTGGTTTTTTTTTTTCGGGGCCTCTGGGCCTTTTTATAGGAGTGGACCCCGGTCACGCGCTGGCTCGAAGATGACGCAGAAAAGCTTGCCGATGAAAAGTCTTGAGGAAAAGATAGTAGCCGAAAATCTAATTGGCTGGAGCTGCTCTAGTTTATAGCCACTCAAAAATTGTCACTTTGCACATCCGGCTTGCTCTCCTACGTGAGTCGAGGGAAGGGAAGGTGATTCGCTCACTCATGCCCTTTCTTTCTCTTTTATAAATTCAGATTTTACAAGTATTGATGGCAATAACTTAAGTTGGATGTATATTAATATTCTGTCTGAAAAGGGGAAAGGGCCATAGCTGGCTTTTCTTTCTCGTGTTTCCTTACACGTTGAAAAAGTTGCAAATTATATTACAAAATTAGGCCATTGTGGGTGAGTTACAAAATATCAGTGTAATAATAATTGATAACTTAGTAAATCATGTATCTGCGAAAATAAATGGTAAAAATCAAATAATTCTTAATACTGCTCCGCGAGATTTACCATAGTTTAACACCTTTATACGTGCAGCTTTGCTTACTCTGTAGCTTTCACAAATTTGGCTCGTGCTTTTTTTGATATCTCATCTAATTTTATCCTTGTTTCAATCATTTCTTAGTACGTATCTTACTCTAGGATATGTATAATTTTGATTAACTTATCAGTGAGACTGTTTTTTAGCTAAACTTTTGCATCATCAATCATTCTAAAGCAATTTTATTTGTATGTATTGGACAACATTTCATTTGCTTTCATTTCCAGTCAGCATATCAACAATTTCAATAACTTTAATTTTTGTACCCGAAGAATAAAGGTTTTAAAACGTGGATTGGAAAATTTGTCCTTTGCTCCGAAATTAGAACTCTGCTTAAGAGTCAGTGTGCTTATTTAAAGCTTGTTTATAATTTTTCTTTCACTATGAGTGGAGTGCTCTTGTTACACTATAAATTTCTTTTAAAAAATTGAAATATTTCCGAGTTTTAACGTTGGGGTTATTTCAAAAGCAGCTTACGGCCGTCGAGTATCTAATAAAGTGCTTGAGTATACCAATATGATCAAACGTTATTGAATAGTTTATTCAATAAAGATGTACCACAATGTTCTAGGGACGATTTTCGTATTAAATCACATTAGAGAGTTCAGTGCATTTTTCACATGAATTATAGAAAAATTATACCAATATTTTAGTTCCACACATACAAAAAACCAGTATAAGGAAGCTCGTGCAATTTTTAAAATATGCGGTCGAAATTATTATTGATGATTAAAATATGAATATCCGTAGCATATAATTATATTATATCAATTTATCGACGAACCCATGAACTCGAAAACCAGCCTCCAGGAGTATTTTAAGGATACTGTACTGGTTCTTTACCACAGCATCACCCAAAATTTGGTGAATAGTTTTACAATAGTTTTTACTTGCTTCGTCAATAAAACTGATGTCCAGAAAACGATCAACGATTTCCGCGTGACCCAAAGTACTTGCGTAACGAAAAGTTCATATATATATAGCTCTGGCTTATTCTTGAAGTCTCGTAATAAGCGTAGTGGGAAAAGTACCTATCAAGTGATTTGCAACTTTTGAAAAATCAATCATCTAGTTCTAACGATTCCTTCACTGGTTTGGCATGAACATAAAAAAAAAAATGTATCTTATTACAAAATAACGTGGAACGTAGTCTGGTCGAGTTTTTCACGTTGGAAAATTCAGTTAGTTAGCAACGGCGACCACAAACAACAGGCAGTGAAGAAAAGCCAGCCACCGGGGTAGCGCTACCGTCCCGGCACGTATTTAATATCAAGCTGGGCTTACCTATAGCGCAGGGCGTAAATTAGTCGAACGACTCTGGGGCGCGTAATATCCGGGCCCGAGCGCCTAGTACCACTTTAATTTGCGTGACCGAGCTTTCATGCGCTTTATACTCTCGAGATTCACTGTTTCTGCTGCTGCTGCTGCTGATATTGGCAGTGAGCTTTCTGAAGACGGTGATCGAGCTTTTGTCCAAAGATCTTTTCAAGATTATATTTTTTTAGATTAAAAGAGTTTCTAAGGTTTCAAAACTCTTATTCAAAGCAGGGTAATAAATATCTTATGTTAGTGGAAACAAACAAAGGAGTCATCAAGTTGTGTAACGTCATAAGAAAATATGTCTTGTTGCACTCTGTTGAAAAAAAAAAAAAAAAAAATTCTAATAATTAAATTCCAGAAGTAAGTGTATTTTGAAAAAATGGTATTTAGATTGTTTTTTTTTCTCCTGTTTTACCAATCATATACTTCCAAGTATATGGTATAGGAGTTTTTCTCTGCTTATTTTACACAGGCTTACAGTGGTAGACCCAATGGTGGATATCAATACTGTCATCTTTAAAAAAAAACCGTATTTTTGATTGATCGAAAATTTAATGATATCAGTCATTGTGTATACCATCTTGTACGACTACCCATAATCATATGTATACATATTTCTCAGAAAGTGCCAGAATATATTCAAAACCTAATTTTAAATAATAAGGATGATGAATCCCTCTCTTTTTAAAAAAAACTTTTTTGTGAAGTATCTTTCGTTTCTTACAAACAAGTAATCTGCTATTTTTGGCTGCTTCAACAAAACAATCTGATCAGTTAATGTACTTTAAGCCAACAGTTTCAGTACATCAACTGTTTTTGTTAATGAAAACTAGTATTGATTATCAACTTCTAAAGCTGATTATTCAAATTTGTGTGGAATCTGAAAATAGGGAAAATGTTTTTTTTTTTTTTTTTTTTTTAATATTGTAAGGCTCGATTGTTTGAAACTGTACTGTTCAGCTGAATAAGTACGCTAAATTCGAAGTCAGCACTACTACGTTTCGAGTATTTTCTTCATTCACCAAGAGAACATTATGCTGTTACACGAATTTTTGAATAGAGCGAGGCCCATAAATTATCCCTCATAAATGTAATAATTCATTTTTTGTTACCATAGTTTTTAGTTACACTAAACTAAAAACTAAAAATAGTCTCTAGTTTTCAATATTCGTAATTTGGAATAATTTATTTTTATTATTTAATAACCAGAAGGTAACGCAACCATACATACATATTCACGACCTTGCCATATCTCAGTTAAAGTGGTCATAGTTGGTTGTGTCTGATAAGCAACTCTACCCAGCTTTGAACTACGTACCTATGGCTTGAAAAAGTCAAATGTCTTATGACTCTAGATCATGTTCTGAAACTCATTGTATTTTCCATGTTGTCAATAAAGCCACTGGTATTATTGTTAACTATTAGTTACAGTGCAACCCAATTCCAGAGCCACACACACGTAGAAATTCCCACCAAGTTCCAATCCGCCTTTTCCAGTCCTGACCTACTCTCACTCGAGCAAGCCCTCGCGTGATTTCCAACTTTTAATGGAACTCGCCCAGCAGAGGGAGCATACACACTTTTCACGTACCGTCCCCCATTTTCTCCTCCACGTTTTATTACCCTTGATAAGTCCAACTCCCCCATACTTGGGTTTGGGATTAATCGCGAATATCTCGAAGGATTTAATTACCAAGCGATGCCGTTCGTCGAATTTTTAATTGAATTAAAAAAGTTTCGAGCAGCGCCCGATCGACTTCTACTTCGCGACAAATTGAAAAGTCCATGGAGTCGGGGCTTTGAAAAACTCGCTCGAGATTATTGAAATTTAACTCGATGCTAATGCCGTCGTGGAAACTAATTTCATAACTCGTGGGGTAAGAAATGATCGAAAAAAAAAAAAAATTTGAACGCAAGCAGCATCCCAAAGCGTGATCAGCATCGATGGTAATTAGCCCCGAGCCAATTTGTCCCTCACTTCGATCTGCTCTTCAAACGAGAGAGATGATTCGCCGCACGCATAGTTTCACGATATGGGGCCACTTTCCGACGTAACGAGGCACAAGCACGCTCCCATTGGCCGATTTCTTTATCGTCATTGAAACGAGCCCCAATATTAGTGGAACGGGGAGAAACTAAACTGCGAGAGATTACAGAGTATAGTGCAATTTCATTGTCACCGCGAAGCATCGGGAGAGAAGGCGAGAGCCTGCGCCACTGCTTCCAACTCTACTGGCGTGCATGCCGGTTTACCCTTTCAACGATGTTCGTATAATCTTTCGGACGTGGCTTGATTCTGTGTTTTATAGTAATACTACATGGCAATGCAAGATTAGGTGACCTTCACGGGCGTGTTCTTCTATACTGAAGATATAGTGTCTTTTGTGACTGGCCTTGAGTTGAACAAATGAAAATATAACTAATAACATTCTTTTACAAAGCGTTCATTATTTCGTTACTTCACCTTTTGTGCTGATAAAGGTAAATATTATTGTGACGTGTTTATTAAGCAAGAATAATGTTTGGCATGGTAACTAACTATTTAACTTTGCCGGGTGCTATAAGGTTTTT